ACCTGTTTTTTAACCACGACCAGGTACCAGTCGGGGTTAGTATCTTTACAAGTGGTTAAGTATTAGGGTGGACCTGGTTGTGGTTAAGCACGAGTCTCGGGATGTGTGGGGGTCCAAGTCGCCTTGAATGTCTAGTTTCAGGGAGTCGCCTCAAAGGGGAACTGGGACTCCGACCCCAAATGAGGAGGTGTAATCCAAACGAAGGGGGCGTAACGGGACAAGCTCCAGGCTCCCCGTGTGGAGGCATGGACCTTTCCGTGGAGGCATGGACCTGCATAGCTTTTGTACTCCCAGTATCCCAAGGAACAGAATTGGGGAGAGAAGGATGCCTGTTGCTTCGGACTGATTCATCTTTACCAGGAACACTATGTCTCAAAAGGGCCTGCAGGCTAACCATCCTGGAACCAGCAACAAATGGAGTGAGGGTCAACCCACATGACTCTTGATGGGTGAAGTTGTTTCAAAGCCAAGAGTCGGGTAGTAGGAGCGCCCAAATGACTCAACAAATGGTGTCCAAACGCCACCATCCGTTCACGGTCGTTCACTATAGTTACTGAAGTCATTGGAGTCAACCTGCGTCAAATAGATGGAAAATATAGCAGGTGACCGATTGACTGACTGAGGCTAGCGAGGGAGCCATGCATGGAAGGATCACTTGTTCGTTGGGTGTTAACTGTCTTCAGATTTCAGTGTCACCTGTCACTATATATGTCGCCATGTGTTACATGCTGCTGATGGATCATCACTTCCAAAAGCTCCAAACATCCAGCTTCACTTCCAATGCTGCCTGCAATGGCACCAAAACATGCGACAAAACATCCACGTTGTGCTTCCAAAACCAAGACCATGCCAACAATAGTAATAAAAGCGACGCAACAAAAGACAATTGGTTGTTAATACCCTGAAAAAGAACTCGACATTATTTTTTGGTTTACAGAAATCACCAGAAATGACCTTACACCTAATTACAGGGCTGTTTCACTTCCACGTAGGTCATTGAAGTCTGGTCCTGATAACCCTCCGGGAATTCATTTGGCATCCTTCTTCCCAATCTATTCCACCAATGCGCACTCCACCAATATGCCACAACCGCAAGGTCTGGGCAAAACCGCTTTTTACCGCTAAACCCGCACGCATGGAAGAAAACGCTGAGAATGCCATGGCAAACGGTTTTCTGCTTTGCGCCAAAGAATGACCAGAACCTCCCTCTAATAGAAGAACTAAAAGACCCGTTCAGCTATTGATGTTAGATCCTTTCATTCATGATGCAATAGTTGGCATGGCGTTCCTATCCACTTACCCCCGCCTTGTAGTGTCCTCCAAGATAGAGGTCCAACAAACAATGGCTCATGGAGCCCTCTGCGGAGCTCAAGCAAGCGCATCCGCAAACAAAACCCGCAGGTCTAACAGCAAAGATTTATCCCTTGTCCCGGTTCTCCAAAGTGACCATTGAAGAAGAGTCAAACCTTGCGCATGCTTGCTTTGAACTCCTTCACAGCGTTGGAATTCACCGGACGCCGCATGGTGCGCAGCTACACTCCCTGAAAGAATCATGCAATTGAAAGCCACCTGTTTGGTATTTGGATAGTGTGTATTCTTTCAAGGCCATCCACTTGCATCATGTCAGAGAATGTATACAAGTACGACTAATACATACCTATATCGTATCATTGACGTGCCAAAGAATTTGGACTCTGCAGCCGAAAGCAGGGTGTCATCTGACCCGGCCCATGAGAAACATGTGACCAAGCCAGAGCCACTCTTGCACAACAGGAGTCGTTCAAACCCAGACGACCCAAAGAAGCAAGAAACACTAATTCCAAGCCGTGAGAGTTGCTGACTGTGCTGCTTTGCCAGGCTGGGGTGACTGGGTTCTGGATTTCTTTCGCTGCGCAGGGGCAAGCAATAACAGCTGCACCGCCTGGCCCCTGCAATCACTTGGGTAATTACGGCTAAAAGCACAACACCAAGAGTCACCAACCCAGATCTTCCACCTCTCCCCGTGAGGGGCCATCCATCCCCATGTCCACGACCAAGGGGACTCCCCTTGTAACCACTCCAATGTAGATATATATAGCCCCCTCGAACTGCTGGCGAACCAATACCAAAAAGATCCAAAAAGCCTTCATAAATCAAGTCTTAGAGGACGAAGAAGCTGGCAGCTTCACTAGAGAATGAATCGATCGATATTTACCTATAGAGGAGAAGCTGGCAGCTTCGCCCCACCTGAACCTCTGGAGATGCTACTCAGGATGCAAAGACCAGGCTGGTTGGTGGTTTCAACGAAACCGAACAACAAATATGAGCCAGTGGGATCAATCATTCCAAGTAAAGGCTGAACATAGAAATATCTGATACATCCACCCAGCATGGTATACTTGTTGACTGAAATCAAATTCACCGACACCCCCTGGCTGCCCTATCAACTGGATCCCCAAAAGGACACCTCAAAAGAAACAACTATATGGGAACTTGTCTTAAGAAAAACCATGGGATTCCTGATGATTTGTATTGATGTGTGCTCCTCGTTTGTTCTTTTTTGAGGTTCCTGCGACTTCAAACGAAGAAACCCAAAGATGCCGCCCTTGCAGGTCTCGTGGGAGCTCGACTCGTGGCCCGGCCAGGACCACCCCACAGGTCCCGTCTCCAGTGAAGCCGCTTCGCCTGGTCCTTTACTTCATTGAGTATAGTGTTTTGATCGTTTTTGTACAAGTACAATCGGTCCAAATGATGTCAGCAGAACTGACATGTAGAGACCTCAACGAATCGTCCGGTTCGCCGACCATCCAACCCAACCAAGATCGACCAAGTGCTTCACATCGCCGGTCTTTATCATGGTTTGGAACACAATGTCCACCTCCGTCCGCCTCTTTAAGTGAAAGTCATCTCCAACCCAAAAGAGGTGAGGACAAACATGGACAAGTTGACTAGGCTTTGACTAGGCTGAGAAAATGAATACTCAAGCCACTGGTCGCACCATCCGTACATGCCATTGATAGATTAATTAATTAGATTTATATAGCATGGTGATAGGTCCTGTTAGATTGATATAGCATGGTGATAGGTCTTGAGCGAACACGGATGTCGCAACCAATGGCGTGAGCCACAAAAACAAGAGTTTGTATGTTGCTTCTATGCGAGATGAACACTTCTGCAACAACACCATTCCTCAAAACGAACATGTTACTTCTATCTCCAGCACCACGGATTTCGAGTAGTGAAAATGGAAAATACAGTACACAGGTCGGAGGTGTCAAACAAAACCACCCGAACTCAGTGGTGGATGAGAATGGCTTCCGTTCGCGAGACCCATGGACCGGTGTGTGAACTGATGAATCAGCACCCCCCGGGCAAGGCTTGTAGAAACCTCTTCATTTTTGGTGTTGAAAGGTCATCCAGAGTCTACATTATGGGACTTGAAGTCCTGACCTGAAATAAGCAACTCCCTAACATTGAAGAACACTGAACATCTCTGTGCAGTTTTTTGGCTGCATTTGTAGACGTAGTCTGAAGGAGACCGGCCGCCTCTCATATATAAACCTTATAACAACATTCCTGATCATTCCTGATGATCTGAGTGCAAACTTTAAAGGCCATGACTCAAGAAGTGAGCATCAGGTTCACTCTTCAGCTAAAAAGACCTAGAGATCAATGAACAAAGCGGACGTCGGACCTCATCCAATGAGGCGTGTCCTATGGACAAAGACTTGGCCCTGGCCGATCAACGAGCTCAAACCGGGACACAGCTGAAAACCATGAGGTATATACCCTTATGATTCGGTTCCGCCAATCTTGGGTGAAGAGTTCACCAAACGACTTCCCCGTTTTCATCTCGACTCTACTGGGATCAGCAGGTGGTTGTCTTCATCAATAAACACATGTTTTTGATGGGAACCCCATGGCATCATGAAGCTTCTCGGGGCCTGGCTTCCAGGTGTCGGAATGGTGTTTCGGAATTGGTTTGACCGTCGGATGGAAGTGGAGGCCAGTCTGATCCGGCCATGCCAAACATGTAAACTCTTGAAACATCATCCTCCCTTTTGGATTGAACATCCTCTTCTACCCATCGCGCTCTGGAAGTCTGTCTTCATGTTGGATCTTAAATCGTATAAACCGTCCCCCTCCCTAGCAAAAAATCGAGGGAGTCTGAATAGAATCGGTCTGAATGGAATCACTACCATCAAAAGTAATAGTAGTCGTAGTCATAGTCGGAGCTGTAGTACTATAGTAGTAGTCGTCGTCGTCGTCGTCGTGGTGGTGGTGGTGGTAGTATGTGGTAGTGGTAGTTGATATGTTGCCTTTTTGGGGAAGAAAACCATTCGTTGTATTCACTTCGCCTCATGGGCTGGTGCACGTCACCCCCGTTGAACAACCGGAGCAATGACATTCAGTTTTAAACACGGTTTGAACACGATTTCCAAGTCAGAATTCCATAAACAAAGCAAACCTCAGAAGCGGTTTGCTTAAGGATTCTAAAAGGGGAGTAACAGCAAAAAACAATAGTTTAAAACCAAAACAACACACACATCCTGGGCCATCCCATTAGGCTAATCATTCAGGGTGTGGGAATAATTCTTATGTCCTCCCACTATCAATCAAGAGTCTACATTGAACGCATGAGAACGACCATACCTCTGAAAACGGGTCCCGGTGGAACCAAGCGGGGAAAGAAGGACACAACATCTTCAGCCAAATAGCGGGAGATGAAAACATAAAAACAACAGGACACCCCGCCTCAAACACCTGTTTTTTGGGGGCACACATGTGGAGCACTATGTGGTGGAGCACTATGTGGCGTTCCAAGAAGACCCTGGACTGGCCGCTCTCTGGATCAAAATGCGAAAAAGACGATCTCAACCTAAAAAGTGGTGAACAGCAAGGTTGAACCAGTCATGTAGACTAATTGTATTTGAAACCCCCTATTGAAAAGGTCCAGTACAATCGCTGGCCACTGATGATCCTTGCCACGCGAGTCATTGGTATGATTAATGATACCATCTGTGGAGCTCTTCACCCCCTGTGCATGGCGTCAAAATCTCGCGTCGAATGCGGATTGTCATGCTCAGACTTGCAGGACTCGCGGGCAGCTATGAGAGCAGTTCCGGGAAGTTCATACCAGGAAGCCTCGAATCTGGAATCTGGCGTGTTGGTCCAGCGACGTCTCCGGCACTCCGGCAATGGAAGAAAAGGATGAATGGATGAGTCTCCAAACTGCCTGACCGGTCCCTGCAAGCATCTCAAAACCTAGGGATTTGAGGGCCCCAAACCCCTCCATATGAGGTTCCGATCCCTCCGTAGGTTCGGGTCCATCTGAGAAACAGCAAACGTCCGATGCGCTAAGATGCGAAGACAACGACCAAGAAACAAACGGACTCTTTCTGAGGTGGCGACTGCGTATTACTCGGCAATTCTCCCGCTGGATCTGGTCTGGGCAGTGGAGGTCCTCGTCCTTCCTCTGGCGAATATGCTGGATTCCGTTCCTTAGTCGGAGCGTGGTCTTCGCCTTTGGGATGCTGAAGTACCTACTATACGACCCCTTTCACAAAACTGTCTTCAAGGGTTACTTCTCTGAACAACCAATTCCTACTCTCGCTAAAACCAGGCAACCCATGTTTGAAATGTTTGAAGTTGTAACCCTTCTGGAATCCCCACAAACTGGGGATCCAACATGGATCCAACAAATCAAGTAGTGCCACATTCTTTGTGGATCCAACATCACTTGGTGAGGGCTGTCAAAAGCCAGCACCCAGGGGAAAACAACAAATATAGTTACTGAACCATTCGAGGTGTCTTAAACCGGTGGGGTCGGCAAGCACTTGCGCTTTCTCGGTCGGAACCCCCCATGAACACTTGTTCCTGGAGACCTACCGACCGATGGTGGAAGATCGAGTCACAGAACGAACGATCTTTGGGAGCTCAGTAGTAGTGGGTGAAACATGGTGAAACATCCTCCCAAGTAAAGGTTGAACATAAACATATCTGAAACCACCCGTCATCTGATGAATTCAGGCAGCCTGATGCATCCCTGGATGGCAGGGACCCGGGTGAGACACTCCCCGGGCGCCACACGGGTTCACGGCGGACGACAGGCAGGCCATGAAACAGCGTGGTTCAGACCGCCTTTCACCCGAAGACTCCACCCTCTTGGGGTGGTTGAGTTCAGGGGTCAATGTATGGAAATATGAAAGGTCCCCAATGAAGGGATTGGGGCTGGAGGTATTTCATTATCTGTGTTTGCAGTTATATATATATATAACAACTGTGCTTCCATGTTATATTCCTATGTGCTGTTGTGGTCGTTGTTGTTGCTGTCCCGGTGATTTTTCCCTGTTGGTTGGAGTTGTTCTGTCATACTGGAATGGAGGGGCATGGAGGAGCACTTTTTGACGACTTTTTGGTTTTTGATTGGATGGATGTTTTTTAAAGGAAGGAAGGAAGGAAGGAAGGAAGGAAGGAAGGAAGGAAGGAAGGAAGGAAGGAAGGAAGGAAGGGGAAACAATTTGAGAGGAAGAAAGGCACAACTTAAAGGTTACATATGATCATCATCCAGTGTCCGGGTTGTTGTTTCAAATTCCTTGGACCTCGGCAGTGGTCCCGGTCAGACCCTGACTACATCGGGTTCGGGCCCCCAGAGGTGTCCTGACCCATTCTGGCCCAGTCGACCCGAACCGCAGACGGTTCTTGGGTCCCAAAGCGACCGGCGAACCGGCGAACCGGCTTGGGTCGCCGAACTGGGTATCAGCGACTGCTACACTGGACCCTCAAGAACTGACTGGAGCTGTGCAGAGATCGGTGGTGCCGCTCCGTTGAGACCCGTCGTTCCAACGCCCTCGGTGTTCGCCTTCTTCGTTCCAAGCACCGGGTTCTCTCTGCGAGGCTCAAGGCGCAGCGCATGTAAGCTGCGCTTCGCTTCGGCGGTGTGGGCGAGCTTCCGGGGATCCTGCGACCGAAAGCGCGCTGCGGCGACCGAAAGTGGTGAGTTTGGAGATGCAATGCCCGAGAATCCATGTATATACTTGAGTATAACGCGTATACATAATTTCTGCAGTCCAGTCTGAAAGTCCAAACCACACCAAAGACAGAGGCAGTTCTCTTCACTCTGAGCCTGAAGAGGGTGTTTCTGTCCCACGGATCCCAAACATTGATGTTGGAGAGATCCACAAGAGGGACCGGGCTCCAGTCGGACCTTCGTTTCGGTGGGACTGGGGGCCCGGGTGCCAGTGTCGGGTCCCGTCGAACGGGCGAGAGACAGGCGTTCTGGGGTCGGAGAGAGAGCATTGACGCAGGCCAGGCAAACTGAACGTGGTTGGCCATTATGACGCAATATAACCTAGATTCTCCTAGATTTGAGATGTGAAACAACTGTGCATGTCTGCAACTTTGCTGGTTTTGAGGGCAGATTCTTTTTGGCGCATTTGGACGATCCAGGAATCATCATGGATCTCTGGTATAGTCACGCATGCTCCGCGCTTTGTCTCGTTCGTTCACTCTTCGGATGCTGCAAGTGCTGGAGACCCCCTTGTCGTAAGTAATGGGTCTTCTTTACGCTCGATATACGCTCGAAGCACTCTTGAACCACTCAGTCAGATTGAACCATTTCCAGTCACTGCATGCCTACGAATTCTATTCCGACGATTCCAACTCATAACATTAATCGTCAACCAAACATGTTTTTCCGAATGAAGGCAGTGTTCAGCGCCGATAGAAACTGGGGCAGTATTTACAGTATAATTCAAGAACTAACAACTTCCACCAAAAGGCTACAAGTCCAAAACAATTCCTTTGCCATCGGGACAAAATATCGCCCTCCCCACGATTCCCGCCCCTTCAATCGCCCACAAATTCTGACATTGTGCGTCTCCTTCTCAATCTTGCCAATGTACCTTGCAAGTGGGTCGTCGACCGAGTCCATCGGAAGTCTTCCGCATTTGCGAGCGTCATGAGACGACGTCATGATCGTCATGGTAAATTGAAAAATAAATAAGAATAAATAGAGCTGTCACTGCATGAATTGATGAAGGTCATGATAGTGTCATAGTCAGTCCGAGTGACAGCTCCAGTTTGGCCAAATGCCACTCATGAAGGCTTCGATTTGGAGGCATTGGAGGAGCCAACACGCCAGATGCACAAGGCTTTGGCCAGTGCAAGGTGTCATAAGAGCCTGAACGGGGCGCACTGAAAGAAAGGGCGCACCAGTGGCCGCTTTCTCCCCAGTGAGTGCCAACGACCCATTTTACCTACTGAGTTGATGCGGTGTATGACTCCTGGGGCTGCTGGTCAAAGGAGTCATCGAAAGTTCTGGAATTCATCGATTTCGTTTGGATGTCATGCTTCCAGAGCGCCCCAACCCATGTCCTTCCCAAACCCATCAGGGATCAAATCCAGTTCTTCAAGCGGGTCGAGTCGCAGGACTGTCGAGCCACAGGAGCAACGAGAGAACCCCAATCCTGCCGCACAGACTGGATATGATCGGTACAACTGGATGGACACCGGAATTCTCTTGAACGTTTCCACGGGCCTGTTTTGACGCATGACATGAACTGCAGGGGTCTATGGGAACATATGGGAACCATGCAGGACCATGCAGAACCCCCCACCCGGGTCATCACTTCCACCTCTCCTTATAAGTTCACCGCTTTTGGCTCTCCAGGTGACTTGAAAGCTCCAACAAAGCCTCGTCCATCACCATCTCCTGGTCCATATCGACTGTGCAACACGGCAGCACTGCACCTCAGTATCACAACAAGAACTCACCATGGAGGAGGACCTCTATAGCTAGATATTGTTTCTATTTTTGGAGTTAATAACAAGTGTACACGTCCACTCCTGAAGTGCAAATATTGCTCATGGGTGCCACTTCCACGTGTCGGTGGAACGCGTGTCCAACGACATGAGTGATCTGACCTCACTTACAGCTGCACTTCGACGAGAAGGACTGCGTGCCTCGTCGTGGCTTTCAAAATGAATTGTTCATAAACGGCTGGGCAAGAGGTTTTTGGATCAGTGGGCTAGTAATGGCTGGCATCCGATGGGGGATCTTGCAGTTTCAAAAAGAGACATTGACTTTGCATGAGATGGTCTGCATGCGAGGGCAGGATGAGCTGTGCAATCAAAGTTACGGGGTATTGTGTTGGGCAGGCTACCAGTGCGGAATGGGCTCCGGGCTGGTGAAAAGTAAGGCACGCACTATTTTCTGGAGCAAGGCTGCCGGAAGGCTCGTTGTGGTGGGGGCTTCTGCTCAAGTGTTCTCTGAAACTGGTGGCACCGGCCTAGTCTTTGACTTTTGTTTTGCTTGAGGCAATGATGAGTCACGCGCGCGTATCTCTTGGGCAAGCGTTCTGTCGACGTGCCTACAGGGCGATAGCTGTGCTGAAGCTGCTGTGGTCGTCAATCAGGACGATTACCTCCCGCTGTAGCAATAAAGAATTAACTTCCAGCAGTCACAAAGGGGTGCTTATTAATGGAGGTTTGGGGTGCCCATTTTCCACTCACTTAGGGACTAAACGCCACTCCTTTGTGACTCCTGGTTATAAGACAATGGCTGCTTTGTTAGTCTTCAAAAGTAGACCTAAGGAGTTGATCTGTTGCGTTTCACCGGTTTTGGGCTGCAACAAAAATCGGCCATATGTTTGTTCTCACTTACGCTGCTGCCTTTTCTGCCGTGCCGTGAGTGTCTTTGCCAGTGCTCTGCACTGGCCAGTCTAAGTCCCAGTGGCAGGGACTTTTGTGAGATCCGTCTTTCTGACTGAAAGAGGCATTCAGTCCGGATCTGAC